AAAAAAAAAAAAAAAAAAAAAAAAAAGGGAACAAAAGTCCTTGGTAGTCTGTGTGCTGTGTCAGAATATCTGATGACACTTGATAACTAAAAAACAGTTTGTAAGATAGTTCAATTAATTGAGCTTAAAAATCTACTTTTCTTTTTATTTTTTTTTTGAACAATCAGAGCGAATTGTATCATTTGTATTGCACTTATTTAGATGAATTGCTTACATACTTTTCTTCTACCCTCATTGTTATCAACAAATTTGGATGTACAAACAAGTAAATATGGCATTTTACCGTCAATCGTTAATATTTAAAACATATTGCAAAAATTGATAGTTCAATCATGCTTTAAGGAGTCAGCGGTTTAGATTTTAAGAAATACTTAAATGATTTGATAGAACTAATAAAACGAATAATTATAAAAGTTATGATCAAATTAACATTTAATTCTAAGTTCTTAGCAGAAATGTTTGCTGATGCTTGTTTACACTACTTACTTCATTCATCACTTTTTTGGAATTCAGCTGTGATGAATGCTGTATATAAGCAGCGGAAATCACCAAAATTTTTTTAATGGGATATAAGGTGAAGTGTACATAGAAATATATTAGTAAGAAAAATCGGTACGAAAAGTTCTTAGCTTAAAAAAGAAGTCTTTGAGTTCCTAGTTAACCGTAATATAGCAGCTTGTTAAATGAAATTGTCTATACCGTTCGTCATGGTTTCTTTGAACTTTAACTAAAAGAATGAGAAAAAATAAAATCCAGGGTTATTACCCAAACTTTACATGAACTTACATTAACTTCCCTATAGGCTCCTAACATATTATGGAAAGGGTTAAAGATCTGAATGAGCTATATGTATATAGTAAAAATTGTGCCTAAGAAAGCTAAACGAAGAAATATTTAGAACGGCCAAGTAGAATGCGTTCTTGAAAAGTGTGAACGGTCTGGAAAGTGTTTTTTGGTGCAACAGTCTTCCACAAATGTTTGCTGTCCGGAATGTCTAACCTGTTCACACATGGGAACGGAACACCAGAACGACGAAGTTTGGTATGATCGAGTTGATCCGTGCAATCAGTACACCTGCAAGGTTTGATTTTGTTCCCGTATCTGTTACTCTAAGTTACTCCTGTTAAAACCATCGAATAAACGAAAGAAAATAATTTTGTTTAGGAGGTGATACAAAATCAATAAAACACTGTTATGTGGTAGATACTTTTAGGACGGTGTAGTAACCAACTGGAGAAATAAATGCACAAACCATTGTCAAAAAGGAGTTCAAATACCTGGCTACTGCTGTCGATTATGTGTCTTGCCGTATATAACCAGTGATCCATGCGTCCGCTGTGATTTGGTGATGAACCAATACTATCACTGCTACCGCACTGCCTGTCCGGTACTTGGATGTGCTGCGGACCAGCAATTTCGAAGCATCAATAAGCTAGTTTGCTTTATTCATTTACACCAAATTAGAACATATTGTAATGATTGTAAGTAGAATTACTTGACCGATTTAAAGTTTAAGCTTACTTTAAATACTTTTTAAAAGCTATCTTTGAAAGTATCGGTTAAAAGCTTTATTTGATTTCTGGACTATTTTCACTTAAATGGAGTTAAGGGTTTCTATTTCTCGAGTCATAGAAGAATAAAAGCTCTTTATGGCTATCAAAAAGCATGCTGCAGTTTGTTGTTTCTGCAGTTTTTGCTTCACGTTATTACAATGTATGCGGAAAATCTGTGGATATATCTCTAACAGGTTTAATGAATTGTTTAGGTGTTGTGCCGAGTGCGTTTCATATCCGCAGAAAGCCTTGTCACTTTCGACTTCTGTTACTCGCAAAGGTTTTTTATCTTGTTCGTTCCAGAAACAAGAATTTCCACAGGGTAAAACGGTGGTTATAGATCCTTGTACGAAATGTCACTGCAGTAATGGCACGTTGCTTTGTAGAAGGTATTGTCTATATGAAACTATTAGTTACACTCTTGTAAGACATCTGAAAGACTTTTTGATGCAAGTATACTTAACAGTGATGAATTACCGACTTAGCGCTATTACAGATTCACATGCCCGTCCAAGCACTGTGATGCAGCAAGGCTCTTTTACAGAAAGGATGTTTGCTGCGGATTCTGTAGTATAACGCCACGAAACTGTAAAGTCGTTTTTGCCAACGGAACACGAACAGTAATGGAGGTAATGTTCATATAAGCATCCATTTAATTTGTTTATATTAATAAAGTGTTCCGTAAAGAGATAACGGTAAAATTAAGTAATCATTTACTATACCTTCAGGATAGACAATTTAACAACTTTCTTATGGTTTGTTCGTACTATTTCACATCCCAAATCCAAATCCAGAAAGCATGCTTGTAAATTTAGTGGATAAAAAACGCCGTCTTTCTTTGGCTTTCAAAAGACAACTGAAACTTTCCATCTGAAAGTTCACCTGAATATTTACATATAAACAAGTAAATAAATCAGCAAATAAATAAATAAATGGGTCTGTATATTAATGAATAAATAAACAAATTAATAAATTAATAAATAAATAAATAATTACGAGTACAAACATAAATATAAATATAAATAAATATAGTTATAATTATAAATATAAATATAAATA